GCCTCGAATCCATACCTTAAATGATGTAGGCAATGGTGATGGCAGTAAACTTGGAAGCCTTCCATCCAATCGATATCTACCGAGCCGATTAGAACTTGAAGAACAGCTAAAAAAAGATCGCAAAAAGTTTATAAGATCTGCCAAACAGCTTTTAACTAAATATCATGTTTTAGATGAAAAAAATAAGTGCATGCAAAATGATCTAAATCACTCGCATGAGGAAAATGAGCATATGCAAAATGATCTAAATCACTCGTATGAGGAAAATGAGCGTATGCAAAATTCTATGAATCAAATTACTCTCCTAGCTAATCAACTAAATGGTTTGAATAATAAGCTTGTCCCCCAAATTACTTGCAAACGAAAGTCTCATGCTGATCTTAATGCCAAGCAGTTAAAAGAAATAGAATCGCTAAAGTCTACAGTTAAATCACTGGAAAGCATAATATTTTCAATGCAAAAAGCTTTATCTTTGAAGGATTCTGATATCACCTCTCTTGGAATTAAAATAAATGAACTGGAGGCTGAGTTGGAACAAGCTACGCAAAAAGTTTTATTAAAAGATTCTGATACTAACCAGTTATGTAGCAATCTTTCTCTTGAGATTAAAGCAAAGGAATTGGAAAATGAACTGGAGAAAGTTACGCAAAATTCATCATTTAAGGATGGGTTAATTTTCTATCTCAGATCTAGGGTAAGTAATCTGGAAGATGAACTAGATCAGATTGTTTCGCAACCACATCAGACAATTCATGATTCAAAATAGGTAGTGCAGAAGCGAACTCAGCCTCATCATCCAACGATTATAAGCATGATGAAGTAGTAGAAGAGATATCTCATTTTTCTTTACACTACTCAAAATGCGAACCTGATGGAAAAGGAGATTATGATAGTATTCTAGTTGTACCTGTTATTGCGTTAGGAGGTAGCAATACTTTAGTTAATGATCAGTATATAATCCTACCTATATTCAAGTTTGTTATTTTTGCCTTCGTAATAATATTAATTATATGGTATATATACAGACGAATTTTTCGTCCAATCAAAAAGGAAAAAATTTTTTATCCAGTCTATAGAAATCAGAGTTATGGATTCCCAATCCATCATGCGAAAGAACCAAAAGACAGGACTACCTCCTATGAAACTTTACCTTATGGATATAGATGAGACCACAAAGCACGAATCATCCCGAATTCAGTCCCATCCTGCTAGTCCATCATGGCCTTTCTCTATGCTAGTTATAGGGAAAAGTGGATCAGGTAAGACTAATATTTTGGCAAATTTTTTTCTCGGTGATAAAGCTGAATGCATATATAAAGGTAAGAAAGGTGGCTCTAGGTATATTGCATGTGATAATTTGATAGTTTGTGGTTACCACCCTGATGAGCTAAAATGGGCATTTGTGAGATATATGTATGGGATAATCTCAAAAGATCCAAAAGCGCCTTACTATGAGAATATACGATTTAGCTATATATCACCAGAAAAAATCCCTAGTGTAAGAGCATTTTCGCCTGAGAGAAGCACAGCAATTATTTTTGAGGATCTATGTCTCACTCCAGATCATATACAGAATCGAATTAGCCAATTTTTTGGGAATGGGCGCTATCGGAATATTTCATGCATATACGTTGCGCAAAAATTTCATAAAATTGATACATTCAAGCGTGAAAATGCCTCACACATAGTAATCTGTAATTCTGGTAGCTCCCATGAAGATATTTTCAAGATCATTAGGCGCTATACTGATGATATAAAAAATGCATCTATGGTCATTAATAGTTACCTTCGAAAAGGTGAGTTTGTCGTATTTGATCTCACTAGGCTGGAAGATGATCCCCTTGCAATCCACCTAAGGTTTGACACTCCCCTAAACCTGCAAAAAGAGATAATGGTGAGGCAGAAGCGCAAAGAAAAAAGTGCCCCAGCTAATGAATAGAATC